GTGTTCATCTATGAGTCAGACTTTTACAGTTGCCCTACATAAGAGGTACTACAGACAAAATCAGTAAGATACTACACAGGCATCACATCAAGACTGCCTTCAAAACAGACAGAAAAATAGCAGCCATCCTTAGAAACCCCAAAGATAACATTGACCTGGAAAACCAAGGCATATATGAAGTCCCCTGGCCACATACATTGGACAGACCAACAGAAGAATAACTACCCGCCTGGATGAACACAAAAATGCAGTAAAAAAGCTGGAACACACTTCCTCACTAGTCCAACACATGAAAGCCACAGGTCATAGCATCAACTTCAATGGCACCAAAACCCTAGCCACTATAGAAAATCCCAGCCACAGAATTATCAGAGAAGCCATAGAGATTGAAAAAAGACCTGAAAGCATGAATAGAAGAGATGATTCCACCAGACTGTCAATCATTTGGAAGCCTGCACTCACAAACAAAAAAATCTCCACACCACAAGCCAGCCAAACACCTGGGCACAAACAGATCCCCCCTGATACCTCCAGCTCAAACACACCCCAACCAGGCACCCAGATGAAACCTAGCTTCCTAACAAATGATAGCCGTCCATTTACTCGGAGCCAAGCTGCTCTAAAAGCCTCCAATACAGGAACACAATGTTGCCAGCCAATCAAGACACACACACACACAAAAAGCCACAAAACAGACAGAAGATATTAGAAACACCAATCAAGCAGAACACAGCAAACTCCAAGACCAATAAACACAGACCAAGACTCCCAACCAATCAGGATGAAGAAAAAACCATTCTGGCACAGCAGTAGGCTAGCCCCAAATTTAAAACTGAAACAACTGTAAAAGTCTGACTCATAGACGAACACAATACAGAAGCCTGATGATGGCAGATGAGATTCTGCCGAAACGTTGCTACAACTTAAATGAATCCTACTGAATTATTTACTTGTGTGATGGTTGGATTGCTGCAAACTCTGACAGGTTATGGGCCCAGAGCACACCAAGCACATTGTAAAACTGAACTGTAATTAAGCTGAAGCCTGTATTATAAGCAAAACAGGAGGCTTGCAGGATGGCTGTTGATTTCAACGAGAGCTCTCTGCCTCGATCTCAGAGATTGCTAAGATACAGATAGTCCTTGGGTTATGACCAGGGGTGGGATCCGACTGGTGTAACTACCGGTTCAGTGATTTTATGTTTTGTGTGAGCCTGATGCACGCTGTGCGCGCGTGTATATCATCATCAGCTAGCTGCCTGGACAGCTGAGCAGCGCTGCATGCAGGTACGCAGCAGTTGAAAAAGCACTTTTTTCCTGCTTTTTCAACTGCAACTGTGTCGCGCAAAGCAGCTGCAGTTGAAAAAGCAGGAAATAGAGGTCAGGTAAGAGCCCGGGCGGGTAGGTGGGCCAAAACAGCAGCAAACATAGAACCGGTTCTATGTATGCTCTCTGTTTGCTGCTCTTCAGAGCCACCGGTTTTACAGAAGTGGACAGAACCGGTAGAATCCCACCCCTGGTTATGACCATTCATTAAATGACTGTTCAGAGTCAAGATGGCACTGAACAACTTAGGACTGGTCTGTGAAGTTGTAGCGATAGCAGTATTCCCATAATCATGTTATCGTGATTCAGACACTTGGGTACAGCTCACAATTATGATGGTTGCACTGTTCTGTGGTCCCATAGTTGCTATTTGTGACCTTCTCTGATGGCTTCCTATCAGAAAAGTCAATGGGAAAGTTGGCAGGAGGTTGCAAATCACTCCTGCTGCTTTATTGCCTGTCCATCTCTGTGCTCCTTAGTATTTGGCCCCAGCACCTGATCACCTGCCATAGTGCCCATCTGTGATACCCACCCATCCATAACTCTATCTGCCTGGGATTCTACCTCATCCCATATTACTCCCCATTTATAAGGTCCTCACTTAAAACAACTCACATGGTTCTGGGGTTACAATGACAACTGGGATTGCCATTGCTAAGCACTTTCATGTGACATAATGGTTTATGACCACATCACTTAGTAATGCACATTCTTGTCCCAACTGCCATGGTCCACTTAACAACTACATGGTCCACATGGTCATTAAGTGAATCCGGCTTCCCTATGGACTTCATTGGTCAGGTTGCAAAGGGGGATCACATGACTCTGGGACACAAACTGTCATAAGTATGAGTCAGTTGCCAAGTGTCCCTGTCCGAATTTGGATCATCTGACCACGGGGAGGCTGCAATGGTCATTAAGTGTGAAAAACAGTCATGACCCTTTTTTCAGTGCCAATGCAACGGAGATTCGGGGAAACCAGATTCACTTAGCGACTGTATGACTCACTTAAGAGTGGCAAGTACTCGCTTAACAATGGTGGCAAGATCAGTGGTAAAGTTGATGAAAGCTCTTGCTTAGGACCAACATTTGGGCTCAATTGTTGTCATAAGTCAAGGACTATTTTTGCCTTCCTCTGCATGTCAGCCTTGCCTAGTAAACTCCTTCCCTTTTCTGAGAATTTCTCCTCTGTGTTTAAGGCACCAAAATAACCCAGTTGACATAAGGTCTCCTGCTGGAGCAGGGGGTTGGACTACATGACCTCAGAGGTCCCTTCCAGCCCTGGGTTGCTGTGCTGTTTCAAAATATCATCTGAAGCTTCCAGGTGTTTGTGGTCCTTCCTTCCTCTCCTTTTTCCTCCCTCCCATCTTTCATCCATACCTCGTTCACCTTCCCTTCCCTTCCCTTCCCCTCCCTCCCCCTCCCCCCTCCTTCCTTCCTTCCTTCCTTCCTTCCTTCCTTCCTTCCTTCCTTCCTTCCTTCCTTTTTCTTTCTCTCCTCCTTCACCCCTTGGATGAAGCCAGCATAATTACCCCCCTCCAGCTCTTCCCTCCCCTTACTTACTTACCCCCTCCTTTCTTCTCCTAAAAAGTGTTTGGCTTTCCTAAAGCCATTTGGCTGCAGCTCCTCCCCCAAACCCCACCACTAAGATCGCACCATGGCTTATGGCTGCCGGCACTGGCAGCTAGCAGATTGGTTGGCAGCTAACTGTCCTGGGCAGTGAAAAACCCAGGACGAACCATGCTTTGGAGAATCAGCTGCGCTGTACCATGTGGGACAGAGGGGCTGTGGCCCATTGCCCAGGGAGAACGGGCAGGGGCATGTCAGCCGAAGAGAAAAGTCAGAGGAGAATCGCCCGAGGAGGAACACTGGCGGAGAAGGAGGCGCAGCCAAGGGTAGGAGACAAAAAGTCCCATTCCAGTGCATTAGCAGGTCTTAAAATCAATAAACAGAAGATGCATTGTCTTTCCCATTTTAGAGTATAACTGGTGGGAGGGATGAGGAGGGAGAGACTGAAAAAGTTGTTACATTCTCACGTCTTCCCATTTAGGGTTTGATATCTTTCATTCATGACTTCATGGCATATATTCTGTATATGCTTAAAGGAATGTAGTACAAAACTATTGCCTGTTACATCTGTATGCAAAGTTAACTGAAAAGTATCTGTACAGTATTATAATAGGGAATCTGACTGAGAGGATTTTCACCTTTTGAAGTCTTATCTTGAATCAGGGTTGATTCCTCTGGGCTTCTACCTTTGTTTGCTCCCTGTATTTTGTGACTCAGTTAGGGTTTTTGTGATTATGTATTTTTTATTAGCAATTTGCAAAGAGAATTGAAAGCAATTAGTGAATATTAATTTCCTGGAAAGGAATGCATGATGGTTAATGCAATACCAGAACAGCTTTTTTTTTTTTTACATGATGCACTGAAATTAGCAAAATCCAGTTTCTCTCTTCAGTACAATGAATTTGTATTGCTCTTCCCAGTTTTACTGATCTATTGTAGGTAGACACAAAGAAAAGGAACATAGGGAATGTAGGCTGTTTTCTGTCAAGCTAATCACCCCCCCCCCCCCCCCGCAAATGGTACCTGATGTTCATTTGGCTTATAAAACTAGAAGTGGTATCTTTTTTATTCAATTTATATAGCCACCCATCACACATACATAACTCTACACAGCTTACAATAAAATGGTAAAATACAAAATATCAAAACTAAAACACATAGCAGTCAGGCATCCTTCAAATATCTATCAGCTGTCAGGGTTCTGATGATTGCCCAAATAATGAGAAAAATAAGCTTTGTCACATATCCAGGACCCCAAGCTGGGTCCTAAAATTAAAAGGCCTTATGAAAAACCAGCAAGAACCTGGTCAATCTAATCTGAAGTAAACAATGGTCCAAAGGACTCACCTTCTGGGTCTCAACAGTCAACCCTTCTTAACTGACATTACCCTCCTGCATATCAATGAGAGTTAAAGAGAATAGGGGAATGTGGTCCTGTGACTATAACCTAGTCACAAACCATGAAGATCTTTAAAGATAACAACCACCACCATGAATTACATTTGGAAATACAGTGAAAGCCAATGCAGCTTGCAGGGCAGTGATGTTACATGCCCCGAATAATTGGTGCTATTATTTGCATTGCTACATTTGTGCATCAGTTAAAGCTCCTGAATATTCTTTAAGAGCAGCCTCACATAGAGCACATTGCAACAACAAGTCTGGAAATTATGAGGTCATGAGCAGGGTATCCCGGTCCAGGAATAAGACCAACTGATGCACACTTCAAAGTTGTACAAAAGCCCTCTTAGCCACAGCTGCCATTTGCCCCTTCTGTAGAGACACAAATGCAGGATGATCCTCAGATTGCATACCATGTCTATCTAGAGTGATGACATCCCATCCAGAAGTCTGAGCATTTGACTATTTGCGATCTATACTTAGAAGGTTATATGGTTACTATAGCTTCTAGAAATATAGCATTCATCCCTGCAATAATTTGAAGTTATCTAAAATAGAAGACGAGTAGAATACACAGGTATTGGCTAAACAAAGAATTACCTATATAAATTCATCTTTTCCAACTATGCTACATTATTTATATTACTGCTATCTAAAAACTTAATAAAATGAAAATCTTAACCAGATATTATTGCAACTTTTTACCTTTTGATTGAATCCCATACTTTAACTCCATCATCCCGATAGTAGTAGTACGGAATATTCTCATTGCTTTCCATATGTCTTGACTTGATTTCTTCAGGAAAGCAGAGAGAGCTGTAGGTAAGATGTTTCATTGCTCGCTGGACCATTTGCACATGCCCACCACCTCCAGTGGCATTTGCCTTTAGCAACCAAAACAAATAATATAGGTCATTAAGAAAAACAATTGAAAAAGACTCCACATTCCTAACATTAGTAGGTCACACAGAAGGATGCAATGGTTGGTATGTGTCCTCCTCTAGCTTCCACACAGGCTTGTTTGCATATTAAAGGTTTAGTCATTCAACTTCCCCACATTTTCTAAAGAAACCTTACACACTATTTACACTACAGAAAAAAACAACGAAAGAAATATTTGTATTTAATGGGTGGGTTTTCCCCTCTTTTGTAGGAAATAAGGACAATTCAGCTGCTCCCCAGTTCTATTAATATACAGTAGTAAATAGGGAAAGCAAAATTGGTGTCCACCAGTTAGGATGTTATATTGAAGTTCAGGGGGGAGGCTTTTTCAAATTTCATGATGTGACATTTAAAGCAGTCAGAAAATTGGGATTGAGTGAGTGAGGGCCATTTAATGTAATTAGTAGTCTATGCAGAAGTAGATGCAATGGTTTTGCCTGGGTACCATAAAGCTAGAAGCATTAATGATTTATATAATTATAAAGTGACAAAGCCAGTTGTTGTAGGATGAAACAAAGAAATAGCCCATCCTACTTTTATTGTATGAAGAAGCTTCAACTGTTGTCAAATTCCTTAAAGAAGCTTACAGTGATGAAAGCAAGATTCCCAGAGATTAGGAGATGTAGATTTGTTAACATGAAACAGGGTTACAAAAACTTGAAAACTGGATATGCCTTCATTTATTAATTAGGACGTTAAGGTTTATTTCCCATTACCTTTTATCTTCTTTTTAAGTCTTGGTTTAATGGAGAAGATGTTAATTGCTTATTTGATACCAAAAAAAATGTCCAACTGTTCTTGTTCTGCAATATTTTGAAAATGTTTTCCTTCCCTGGATCAGAAAATTTTATTATAGCTGCCCTACAGTTGAAAGGGAAGAGTGAAATATGCCTAAAATATAATTGCCCTTGCAATATAGAGGGAAAAGGAAATGGCCTTGAGGGACAAAAGGAAGATCTGCTACAAGAGCAACAATAAAAGAGGCCTGTATGTAATGTTGAGTAATCATCTCAGACAAGCCCTTCCTTTTTCCTGAAACAATTTGGTTTCAGGAAAAAATTGTCCTGCAATCTTCAACTCCTACACTGCAAAACAAATGGATTACTCTACTTGACCAGGGTAAAGCTATAGACACAATTTACATAGACTGCTGCAAAACCTTTGAATCAGTGGTACATGACAAACTACTGTTAAAACTAAACTCTTATGGCATTTCTGGATCCCTTCATAAGTGGATTACTGCGTTCCTGTCAAACAGGCAACAAATAGTAAAAATAGGGAGCGCTATATCAAACCTGTTCCAGTTAACAGCGGTGTCCCCCAAGGCAGCGTTCCAGGACCCTATCTTTATACTCTATATAATTGACCTTTGCGATCACCTTATAAGCAACTGCGTCCTCTTCGCGGATGACATAAAACTATTCAACACCACAGACAATGCTACTGTCCTTCAAAGTGACCTTGATTATGTGTCTGAATGGTCAAACAATTGGCAACTCCAAATCCCGACCAACAAATGCTCTGTTCTACACATTGGTAAAAAAAATCAGTACACCAAATACAAACTAGGCGGATATGACCTCGTTGACGATCCTCACTCTGTCAAGGACCTTGGAGTACTCATATCAAATTACCTAAGCGCCAGAGATCACTGTAACAGCATTGCCAAAAAGGCATTAAGAGTTGTAAATCTAATCTTATGAAGCTTCTCCTCCAGAAATATCGAATTGCTAACTAGAGCATACAAAACTTTTGCCAGACCAATATTCTAATACAGCTCATCAGTCTGAAATCCACACTGCATATTGGACATTAATACAATCGAGCGAGTCCAGAAGTATTTCACGAGAAGAGTACTACACTCCTCTGCTCACAACAAAATACCCTATATCACCAGGCTTGAGATATTGGGCTTGGACAACCTTGAACTACGCCGCCTACGATTAGACTTAAGTGTAGCACACAAAATTATCTGCTACAATGTCCTACAAGTCAATGACTATTTCAGTTTCAACCACAACAATACAAGAGCACACAACAGATACAACTCAATGTAAATCGCTTCAAACTCGATTGCAGAAAGTATGACTTCAGCAATAGAGATGCCTGGAATGCACTACCTGATTCTGTTGTTACATCCTCTAACCCCCACTCCTTTAACCTCAAACTATCCACTATTGACCTCACCCCATTCCTAAGAGGTCTGTAAGGGGCGTGCATAAGTGCACCATCGTGCCTACCGTCCCTGTCCTATTGTCCCCATTTATTCGTACCTATTTTCTGTATTCTTACTCATGTTTATACTGTGTTTCTCCAACAATACGTCCCCCCAATAGGAAGACCCAGAACTGTTTTATTGGCATGAGTGAAATTAAGCCCTGCCCCCCAAATTTGGGCCTATTTAGGGGAAGGGTGGCGGGCGCTGGGGGGGTGCAAACTTGCTATTAGGAGCGGTCCATGGGCAGCTACACCTTGCCACCAGGCTGGTCCTAATGGCTGATCATGGCGGAGCATGGAGAGCACCCTACCCCCACCAAGTGCCTTTGCCACAGACCTGGGTATGGTGTTGGCTGCAGGCTGGGTCAGCGGGCGGGTGTTGTCGTGGATGGCGGCGGAGCACTTTGTGTCACGGGACCTTCGTCGGCCGCCGCTTCCTCTGCCGCCGTCGCTTTCCCTTCTGCCCTCGCCATGGCTTATGCTACGTTCGGAGTGCTGCCAGCAGAGGCTAGACACACCCCGCTGCTGATAAGCGCCTGCCCTTCCGCAGGGGCATCACTTTGCTTGACGGTTGCATCGACAACATCCTGCAAGTCAGTGAGTCATTCGGGCTTTGGTGGATGGAAGCAGCGGCGGGAGGGTGATGCTATCATTTGTCCCCCCCACACCCCGCTTTGCTTCCTGTCCCAGAGCTTCGGATCCTAGTCTCGTCAGAGTCTATCCCTCCCGTCTGCATTCTTCAAGCGGACTCTCTTGGCTCATTCAGCTGTACGGTCAGGCGCTCTCCTCTTGCTCCAGCTGCCCGAACCCCCCCGTGGACCTTTCCCCCCCTCTTTAAGCTTTGTTTATTTTCATTCCCTCCGTCAGTTCCGTAAGAATACACACTGGCAGGGGAGGAGGAAGCTGAATGAATGAATCAGCAGGAGAATCCTCTGGGAAGCTTAGGGAAAGAAGGAGGGGGGGAGGGAGAGAGGGAAGAGTGTCTTTGGGATTTGCCAGGAGAAATCCAGGAGGTGGATTTCCATCCTATTTCTGTCCTTCAAGGAGATGAAGGAAGATTTTAAAGAAAAAGTGAAAGATGTGGCAGACATTAATATGGAAGAATTGATGGATAGACAAAATGAAGAGGAGATACAAACTCTAGCTGATGTTGAAAGCCAAGGAGTTACAAACACAAATGGTATTCACTTGTATTTCCAATGGAAGATCAACATCCAATGAGGGAACAGAAACTTTTAGCAGTAATCCACTAGCTTAAGGGATGGTGCTGTTAAGAGAACTTCAGATTCCAAGACCACAGTCTACATTACCTACCCAAAAGGCTTCTGGCAAGGGATGGTCTGTACCTCATAAGGACAGAACTAAAATCGGTGGGTTAAAACTACAAGGAAGTAGGTTCAAACTGCATGTCAGGAGGAACAATGAACTAGTAGAATGGATTGCCCATGAAAGAATGAGTTTTAATTTGCTGGAGGTCTTCAAACCTCTAGGGAGTTATCTGTCAAAGTTGCTCTAGTGGGTTCTGCTATAATTAGATCAGACTAGATGATCTTTAAAATAATTTTCAACTTAGAGAAGGAGGGAAGTTTCAATCTCTTTATAAAGCTATTCCATCTCTCTGGACTTAATAAATATATTCAGGTAAAATGGATGGGTGGGAAGAACTACATGGAAGACTTTTTCCTTATAGCTTGGGTTAGAGTTAAGATTTCCTGTTATCCTCCAGAACTATGGAAGTGGCATCATTTTGTGAATGTGTGTGTGTGTGTGTATGCATGTGCATGCATGCTTTCATGTCAATCTTGATTCCTGAACTCTGCCTGGAGGGGTTCATTTTTCATTACAAGGTTATTTGGAGGTGATTTGCCATTGCCTGCTTCTTAGGGCAGAGAAAAGGTGATAGGTCCAAGGTCATTCAACTGGCTTTGTGCCTAAGGTAGAACTAGAAGTCATGGATGTTCTGGTTTATAGCATGGTGCTTTAACCTCTAAACGAACTGGCTAAACTTACCTTGTCAAAAAGTCCATATTCACAGATAAGTTGCTCTCGAGCTTTGGTGTTTATAGCTATTGTAAACCGTACATGAGGTATCAGGAGCTAAAAATGAGAAGAAGGAAAAAGAGATTACTGGATGAAAACCTTTTCATATCTTTCTAAATATTACCATAAACTTTAGAAATGGCTATGTAGTGAGCAAGGCTGAGCCTATAAGATTGCACTTTTCTCAAACTTTTCTCCCAGAAAGGAAGACCTCTGGGCAGGGACGGGTTTGCCAAATGCAGCTGGGAAAGCCCCCTCTGTGCAGATGGGAGCAACGGACCACCAGACTGACACCACGTCCCCAAAAGACGACCCAATGGTGAGTGATCCCATCATACCTTTTACAGTCAACGTTAAGTTAGTGGTACCAAACACAGGGGAGGCTGGGGAGTTAGAAGCTGTCATTGATACTGGGTGCTCCAGATGTCTTATCAGACTCCCCATCATTGAACAATTGGGCATAAAGACTAACCCGCTAAAACACCCAATCAGATTTGAGCAAGTGGATGGAACCTTAATTGGGGGGGGGGGCAACTGCTCAATTGACAGAATTAATCAAGATGGAATTAGGGCCCCATCGCAAGCTCATACGGTTCATAGTGGCCTCCAAGATGTCAGAATCAATAATACTGGGACTTGCTTGGTTAGACAAGTGGGCCGCTAAATTATATATGAAACTCTCAAAATGTGAATTCCACAAAGAGTCACTAGACTATCTAAGCTAGCGAATATCCAACCTGGGGATTGAAATGGACCCTGGAAAGGTGAAAGCGGTGCTGGACTGGCAACCCTCCAGAACCCGAAAACAACTTCAAAGTTTCTTGGGGTTTGCCAACTTCTATAGACAATTCATTCCGTCCATTGCTGAAGTTGCCCTCCCGTTAACAGAGCTTTTAAAAACGGGCCCGTCACCCACCAAACCAAAGCTGAGTCACCCCTGGCTTGGAATATGGACTGTCAGAAAGCTTTCGAGACATTAAAACGCCACTTTGCAATGGAGCCCATCCTCAAGCACCCAGACGCGACCAAGCCTTTTATTGTCCAAACAGATGCAAGTGATGTAGCGGTGGCAGCTGCCTTGCTGCAAAGAGACTCTCAAGGCCAACTGATGCCTTGCCATTATGTGTCCAAAAAGCTGACAGACGCAGAGTGAAGGTGGGCGGTCTGAGAGAAAGAAGCATTCGCTGTATGATGGGCTTTATTGACCTGGAGGCATTTTCTAGAAGGGGCGCCAGAGGCCTTTGAGGTATGATAAGACCACTACCACTTGCTCCCCCTAAACCGTTGATGGTACATGGGGAAACACATGAGATTCAAAAAATTCTCGATTCTAGATTACACCGTGGCCGATTGCAATATTTGGTCTTATGGAACGGATACTCCCTCTCAAATGCTAGTTGGGTAAAGAGGTGGGATGTTCATGCTGATCAATTGGTTAACCAATTCCATGAGGATTTTCCCTACAAACCGAAGGGTCCTCATGGGGGGGAGAGGGGATTAAGGACAATGTATTAACCCCTATATATATATATGTTTTTTTTTTCTTTTAGGAGGAGGAGTTTTCAAGGGGGGGATGCCAGCTTTGAAATTCAGCTGCCACATATTTATTTTTAGAGAGTTAGAGGAGTTGAAAAGTTCAAGGTTATTCTGTGTGTTGTATTAAGAATTTCCAGTTGCAGTTAATTGGTTCTCGTGATTTATGAAGTGTAGAAGTGGAAGGAGAGAAGGTGGATTCTGTGTAACACGCTAAAAAGCTTTCACTTGGGAAATTGCTTTTGAACATGCCAGATCTGTTCCTAATAAATCAATTGGAGAGATAATGTCTTGGAGTGATTGATATCATGGATACTGTCTGGATGCTTGACAACATGGTCATATGACCATGGAACACTGCAACAGCTGTAAATGCAGTTGCATTGCTGAATACGATTGGAATTTCAAAACCAGGTCATAATTACTCCCAGGTAGGCCCTTCATAATATTGAACTGTTGCTAACTGACTAGTTGAGACTACCAATACAATCATAACTCAAAGCAATGAACTGGTATATGTAGGGGTGGGATTCAAATTTTTTAACAACTGGTTCTGTGGGCGTGGCTTGGTGGGCGTGGCTTGGTGATCATGTGGCTGGATGGGCATGGCTAGGTGGGCGTGTGACTGGGTGGGTGTGTACAGCTCGACATCACTCACGTCGAGGGGCGCTTCTCCTTGCCTGGCCTCTCGTGACCATCTTTTCGGGGGTGACTTAATTCTCCCCCTTGCATCTTCGGGCAGGCGGGCGGCGACGGCTTGGATGTTGACCTCGGCGTTGGTGGGACACTTTGTATCAGGGTCAACGCAGGCAGCACCATATCTGGGTGTGCAACAAAAGTACTTCCTAACAGCAAGCCCCCGCGCCATTTCCCCCCCATTTTGCATGTTTTAATATAGGCCTTAATTTGGGGGGAGGGGCTTAATTTCATTTCATGCCTATAAAACATGCTGGGACTTCCTATTGCGGGAGGCCGTATTGTTGGAGAAACAGGGTATTTGAATGGGGGTGGATTTGTTGGAGTCCTGACAGCCAGCTGATACTCTAAAAATTCAACATTCCAGGATACCTGGCATCTGACATCTGGAATGCATGGAGAGAAAGTCAGGCTAACATGGCAGAGGCAGGGGGGGGGGGCTGTTGAAAGAAAGCCTTCTAGAAGCAGCCCACCTACAAACAGAAACCGAGGACATAATCACAGGCGAAGCCAAGAGCCTGAACAAATAAAGGAAACAAAGCCCCCCCACAGCTTCAGAAGGTGAGCTCCCCCAGCCTAAAAAGGGAAGAAGGCTCCTGAGTGAGCTGACAAGAGTGGAATGGATGTGGGACTGGGAACAAGCCAGAGCCTCAAAGTTCCTGTCGGGATCCCTGGGGAGATCCATAGAGCAGCTGAGGGAGGAATTTGACTGGGCTGCCATTAGAGACGAGGGCCCATCATGCCGCCCAAAACAGAGGGGACCTCCCACAGAGCCATCTGAAGTGAGAAGAAGCAGGCAGGATTACAGCCCTCCTCCTCTACCCAGCAGAAGAAGAAAGAGCCCACAGCGGCAACCAGTGCCTCCCCCACGCAACAGACAGCTCCTTCCTCCTTCTGCATGAACTAGAGCCGGGGAGGAAGGTCAGCCACCTCAAGCACAGATTTACAGAGGGCAACAGGTAAAGGGCAGGGCAGAGCTCTACGAACTGCCCCAGTTCAGGGGGAAATTTAATGGGGACCCAGACCAGCTACCTCTATTCCGTAACTCAGCTGAGATCCACCTAGAACATTATGGACACCTCTACCCCTCCCCTAGAGCCATGATGAATGCCCTTTCTGAGGGGCTGGAGGGAGAAGCAAGAGGATAGCTAGCAACTCTCCACAAGGGCCCCCCAACTGCATGACGCAGATGACTTCCTACAACTGCTGTAGGCCAGATTTCAGGAGGCAGAGGATGACCCATATGCAGAAGATGAACTCAGCAACCTAAAGCAGGGAGGGCAACCCATCAAAGAACACATCCGTGAATTCAGAAGAATCAGTGGGAAGCTACCCCTTTTGCCTGAACGGATGCTGGTTCATTTTTTCAGAACCAGCCTGGACCAGCAAATTAGCAAAGTAACTGCCTATCGTGACATCCCAAACAGATTCTCTGAGTGGTTCCGAGTAGCCTTAAAAGTCGAAGGGGCATTATGCGCTAGCGATATGAGGGAACCAGAGACAGAAGGCAACCAGACCAGAGGCCACCAAACCAACGGTCCACCACGATCTGCCCCGACCAACCCTCTCACGAAGCCCAATTAAATGCTACTGATGTGGAGGAGTAGGGTACATAGCAGCGCCGTGTGTGACCCCAGATTTCAGACCAAGGCCAAAACCACCACTCAGGGCGATCTGAATGAAGCCCAGACGTGCCACCAATGCATCCCAGAGGGTTCTTCAGGCTGCAGAGGTCCCTCTCCAGCCAGCTGAAGGGGAAGGAACTCTGGACAATGACGACCAGTCACTGGATCCTTACAGCAGTGAGGACGAGGGTGAAGACAACCCAATGGTGAGTGGATTGATTCCCCCTTTTGTTTTCCCAATATGGCTTATGGCCCCAAAGACAGGGAATAAGGGAGTTTTCCAAGCCTTAATAGATTCAGGCTGCACCAGATGCCTGATCAATCTGACCACAGTCCTAAAACTGGGGATCAGAGCGAAAAAGCTAGCCCACCCGATCCGGTTCGAAGAAGTAGATGGCTCCCTGCTGAGAGGAGCCTACGCCACTCATTTAACCAAACCAGTGAGACTAGAGCTAGCGGAGCACTGGGAGACAATTTGATTCGTAGTAGCTCCCAAAATGACAGATGCAGTCATACTGGGACTTTCTTGGCTAGACAAGTGGGGCCCGACCATCTGGTGGCAAGAGGACAACCACAGATTGAGGATAGCAATTACCATTAAATAGGAGCACCACCAATGCAGGGAACCCCCTCCGAGAGTTCACCAAAACAACTGGCAGCCACCTCTGACAGAACCCCAGAGGCTGGACAGATCTCAAGAGACTATCAGGACCTCACTGAAGTATTCAGTGAGACTGAGTGTGACATTCTGCCTCTCCACCGCAAACAGACTGCACCATAGAAATCATCCCCGGGGCAAAATTACCAAAGCCCCAAATGTACGCCATGATGCCCTGTGAAATGCAAGAAATGTGCAAATATATGGACAAAAACCTAGAAAGGGGTTTCATCGAACCGACCAAGCCAAGGGATGCAAGTCCTGTTCAAAGAAAAAAAAAAGATGGGACCATGAGATTATATGTTGACTTTAGAGCGATCAATGGACTGCATGCACACAACTTGTATCTCCTCCCACTCATGAAGGAAATGCTATCCCACCTGGCCAAAGGGAAGGTCTTTACTAAATTAGACCTCAGAGAAGCATACTATCGAGTCTGCATCAGAGAGGGAGATGAATGGAAAACAACGTTCAACTGTCCCCTAGGGAGTTTCCAATTCAAAGTCATGCCTTTCGGACTACAGGGAGCCCCGGCGGTGTTCATGAAATTAATAAACAAAGTGCTACATGAACATCTTTACAAGAGGGTATTTTTCGACTTGGGCAACATTCTCATCTACACTGAGATGATGGACGACCACGTACCCCTAATGCACCAAATACTGGAAAAACTTCTAGCAGCAAATCTGTACATCAAGCTGTCGAAATGCGAATTTCACCCCGCACAGTTGGACTACCTGGGATACTGAGTCTCCAATAAAGGCATAGAGATGGACCCAGCCAAAGTACAAGCTGTCCTCGATTGGCAAGCCCCTCGCATCCGCAGACAGCTACAAAGCTTCCTAGGGTTTGCAAACTTCTACCATCTATTCATCCCCTTCTTCACGAGGATTGCCAAACCCATGGCAGACCTTCTAAAGACAGCACAAAAATGAAACCTCGCCCGTGACAATCCCTACAGTGGGACCTAACTTGCCAAGAAGCATTTGAAATGCTGAAAAAACTGTTTGCAAAAGAACATGTGCTGAAGCACCCTGACCCTGAACAATCCTTCATCGTTCAAGCAGATGCCAGCGACGTGGCAGTGGGAGCAGTGTTACTCCAAAGAAATGACCAAGGAAACCTACAGTCCTGCACCTACATCTCCCGTAAACTCACAGACATAGAGAAGCGATGGGCCACATGGGAGAAAGAGGCTTTTGCAATAAGATGGCACTGCAAACCTGGCATCACCTGCCGGAAGGGGGCCAGAAGCCATTTGAAGTTTGGACTGACAATAAAAATCTGGAAAACCTTAGGACCCTGCAAAAACTGTCACCCAAACAAGTCTGCTGGGCCCAATACTTCAACCGATTCGACTTTGTGCTAAAGCACATCCCAGGGGGAAAGAACTTTCTGGCTGACGCCCTCTCTCACATGCCCCAGTATAAATGCGAAAGGGAGAAGATTATAAATGCCATCACCCCCCCCCCATCCAAATAGCTGCCCAAGTAACCACCAGACGACAACGTTGTGACTGACAAGACCGACCCGCAGACGACTTAGCCACAAAATTAAAAACCAAACTGCTAGCAGACCGTTGATTCCAGGACAATCAACACATCTTAATGAAAAGAGATGACCTAGCCCAGAAAAGAACAAAACTCTTCCTCCCAGAATCCCTACGTACTCTAGTCCTTCAGAGGAACCAACATGCCAAACCAGCAGGCCATTTCAGGTTCTTAAAGACTTTACATTTAGCTTGGGGGAAATTCTGGTGGCCTGGCATAAAGAAAGACATGGATAGCTATGTGAAGAGTTACACCATTTGCACTGCGATGAAAAAACGACCAGGAAAACCCCCCAGATTGCTACAGATGGTTGCGGAACCAATGAGGCTGTGGGAGGTGATCGCAATGGATTTCATAGTAGAGTTACCAAAAAGTGGAGGAAACATGGTGATCTGGACTGTAATAGACTTATTTTCCAAACAGGTGCATTTCATACCTTGCAGCGGGCTACACTAGTTCGTCAAACTATTTTTGAAACACATCTACCACCTGCATGGAGTGCCACGGAGAATTCTCAGATAGAGGAGTTCAGTTCACGGCCAAATTTTGGAAGGAGTTCCTGTGGAGTGTTGGGTCATCCCAGGGCCTTAGCTTGGCTTTTCATTCAAGCACCAATGGGGGGCAGAGAGATTGAACGCCATGGTAGAGAAGTATCTGAGATGCTACGTGAATTATCAGCAATCCAATTGGGTAGACCTCCTGCCTTTTGCAGAGGCCGTGTACCATAATGCTGTTCACAGTAGCATGGGAGTAATCCCCTTCAAAGTAGTGAGCAGCATGGACTTTGTCCCAATGCCTGAGTATCCAAGGGATCCTCCCTCCTCAGTCAGCCTGACCAATTGGATGTCAACGCTGAAAGCAACTTGGGAGAATGTAAAAAAGACGCTGGCAAAAGTGGCACAGAGCTATAAGAAACAGGCAGACAAACACCAGGCCCCGCAAAGGCCACTCCAGGTGGGGGAGAAAGTCCACCTCTCCATCAAATACTTGAGGTTAAGGCTCACTAGTAAGAAGTTGGGGCCAAAGTTCATGGGACCTTTCCCCATAGTCATTAACTCAGTCATGGTGTAACTGAAATTGCCCCGACTGCTAGGGAAAATACACCCGGTATTCCATAGTAGCCTCTTAAAACCCATGGTGGGATCGACCCTGAGGCCACCATCTTGTGAACCCCCAGACCCTGTGGTCATAGGGGCCAAACCCATTATGAGGTGCAGCAAATCCTCGATTCGAGGTGGCACAGGAGACTACTCCAATATTTAATAAAGTGGAAGGGCTACCCCTTATTAGAGGCATCTTGGGTAAAGAGTAGGAACGTCCAAGCCGATCGCCTTGTGGTTCCATGCAGAAAACCCAACCAAACCTGGTGTTTTTTTTCCCACAACCCTAAGTTCTATACCTGTAATAAATTTGTTTTCTTTTTGTGTTGGACAGATCACCTTCAAGAAGTAAGGGGAGCTGAATGTCAACTAAAAAGATACTCCTTTGGTCTTTTTAGCTGCCAGAAAAAGGCAGTGAGGGAAAACAGTGTATTTCTTAAGTGCCTAGATAATCACCCTGGCAGCCCAAAGCAAGAATATTACCAGAGAGCATGATTGATGACTCTTGGGGATGGATGTGTCCCATTGGAGAATATACATCCAGGAGGTGGGGGGAAGACCAGGGTCAAGGGGAAATTGAATGATGTATTTTAGTTTCAGCTGCACCCAGATAACACCAACATGGCCGCTTCTAGTAAATTAATTTTCTTTTCTCTGAGATGCGGCTAGAGCTTATGATTTGAATGGGGGTGGATTTGTTGGAGTCCTAACAAGATTAACTTTGGCAATTAAAGAAAAAGAAGAAGTGGAATATTATATATGGGATTTATTTTATAAATGGTTGGAAAATAAAGTAAAAACAAATGAATATTGTTATGATAAGATTTATAAGGTTGAGTAGTTTTTAATATGAATGTAACCATAGTAAGAACGTATACAAAATATGAATATTTGCACAAGATATATGTACCCAGTCGACATACTGTATAACTGAAAAATGGATTTATTGTTAAATAAAATAAAAAAATATTTGGCAAAAAATAGAACCAGCAAAGAAAAAACAACCCTCTGGAGACAGAAAATCTAGACGTACTCCCAAGAATGTAATAAATGTTAACAGAGAGGCAGTTTCTGTAAGCAGGGCAATAAAGATTGTTTCCTTCCTGCCTTCCTTACAGGATTAGCCCTATAAAGTAGAAAAAAACAAAAGATTTCTTCCAACATCGGTTCTCCAGACTGCTTAGAAAGTTAACAAGTGAGAACCGGTAGAATCCCACCCCTGGATATTACAATCACTGTAATGCTCGAGATGCTTGGATAATAGGATTATGAAGAACAGCAATACATACACCCTCTCTCTCTCTCGGTTTTCAGTCTGCTGCCTTAACCACTACATCAAATTGGCCTTATTATAATATAGATTACAAAATAATATATCTTATTCTAGTGTTTTAATAACCCACCTTAAAGAGAGGATGGACTGCAGGCAATTGTCGGAACATAGCCACTGCAAAAACTTCTGAAATTAAGTGAGTCCGAAGCAGATGAGTCACAGTCTGATGTATATGGAAATCAGAGGAACGTACCCATATTTTGGCTAATAACCAATCATATTTAGCATCAGATGGAAGGAAGATAGGATTGCTTTGTTCAGGAGCTTGATTTATCTGAAAGATTTAATAGAATAGTTAATATCTTCAACAGCAACTAAAATGTTATTTTAATTGGATAAAACCAAAATTACCTGAATTGCAATAGGGATAATTTTATTCTCCAAATTCTTATACAATAAGCAGATAGGAGCAGCCAAATACTGTACTGTGCAGGGGTCTGTCTTATTGACGTCAACATCATCTAGAAGTTCATAGTCCACAATGAAAATATTTCCTAGCTGTCCAAAAAAAAAAAAAAATATGCAGCTTGAGATGTAAAAATCATCCTGGGAAGCATTAAGTATTTTTTATCTTTGGAATATTTATATCACAAACAGATAAATAAAAAAATTGTAATAGGTTGAACTAATTACTTCTGCCAGTTTCTTAGCCTTGAGTGCTCTTTCCATAACTGGGATTACTTAGGCCTTTACTTTCCACATCATCTCTAGTTCCTCTGCTACATCTTGTGGCACCATCACTGTCTTGTAGTCCTTGTCTACTAACATGATGTCTTGTTGATTGGCTTGTATCTACCTGCCCATCTCGATCTAGAAGTTGCACAGAATGTTAGCCCTATTATTCCCCACAACCTTCTATGAAATATTCTTTCTGGAGGAGGGTCTAGCCCATACACTACACTGTGTGCAGATGTTCCTGTATACAATGCCAACTACCTGATTCTACAGTTCAGTGTATGCTGTTCCTGCTTGTATCTTACACACTGCCACTATGTGTTGGACTGTCTCTGAGACCTCTCTGCATAATCTGTACCTCGGATCCTGTCTAGAGCAGTAGACTCTTGTTTTTAGGATTAGTGCCTTGGTGCTATCTTTTAGTTAAATCCTTTCCAACCATGGGTAGGTTTTCTGCCACCTCTGTTGAGTTATTTGTTGATGGTACATCCATGCAGGGTTTTGCCTTGCTATGGCACTTCCTCTGTTTGATCTTCCACCATGTATGCTGTTTCTCTCAGCAGCTCATCTTTGGATGTCATATTATTTATGTACTCCTGGATGCTTTGGGTTTCATGCAGGTCAATGGCTTTGACACTTGCCAGACCTAGCTTCCCTCTTTCTGATGCTGGGTGTTGGGCTTGGGAGAGGACATTGTCAAGAGCTCTGGGTTCTTCACATCAGAAGCTTCGACATCCTCCTTTGGCCAATTCACTTTATCAACATGGCATCTGATCACTGGCAAAGCAGACATGTTGATGGTATGAATCTTGTTTTTCCTACTGAACTGGCTCTTCAGGAACTGTCTTATCCTTTGGTGATACTTGGATGTTTCTCCTTGTTTTCTCCTTGTGGCTCTCATGTAACTTTAGGATGCCAAGGTATTTGTAGTTGTTCTGTACTATCAGAACTACAAGGCACCTACTGCTCGTTCCTCCCAATCAGTCTTAATTATCTTCCTTCTCTTGATTACCATCTGACCACACATCTTCAGTCTGAACAACATCTCAATGTCCTTACTGTAGATATGTCAATGGATCAAATAGTTGAATTCTTAGCATGTAGCTTAAGGTCAGGATGATGGTAGTTTCATTTTTGAACTTGTATTCATAGACATAACTTGCAATTGTCTGGCTGAGGGGCTTCAAGTCTGCATGCATTAACATGACATAAGCCCCACCTGATGGCCTTGTGTGCTAGCTAACTGAACTGCCAGTTTTGACTTCCACAGCCCCATTGTGTTTCTTGAAGAAGGTTCTTAGTGTCCTGTTGATCTTGTATAGTGCTAAATATTCACAGGATTTCTTGTAGTCAATTCAACCTGTAGATTGGTCTGTTTAGATCTTGAGTCTTGGGCAACTGCTCTATCTATGAGCAACTGGTATTTTGAGCCTCTGGTGTTGTTTCCAATGCCCTTCTGAGTTGTTCTTATATACCAGCCCATATGGTCCTTTAGCTTGGCAGTTATGAAACCTAATAGGATTTTCCATGTTGTAGGGAGGCAAGTTATGGTTGGTAGATGGACAGTGCTATTCCCTTGTGGGAGTCTTTCATGAACAGCACTGCCCTTCCTGGATTAGCCAATTTGGCTGAGAGTCTGCTGCAAGAATTTGGTTCATCTGTGTTGCTAGATGTTCATGCCAGGTGTTGTCCAATTCTTTGTTCCTGATCCACTGTTGGATATCTACTATGATGGTGATTGGTACCTATTCTGGAGATGACTGTGGTCTGTTCTTAGGTCCTGCAACCACTTTGCATTGGCATATTGTGCTTTCTTTTTCTCCTGTGTGTTCTTCTAATGTTCTCCAATTTCTGTTGTTGGTAGTTCTACTATTACTGTGATATTGCACTTCAATTGGGAGTACACCTTGGATGGTTCTTTAGAGAATAGAGCATTTATCTTCTTGGCCTCTGCTTCTCTACTGTATCTCCTTAACTTGGTAGCCAGAGCTGTGAGCCTTTGTTTAGCAGTCTCTAAGGCTTCAGATGGAGTTATTTTTATAGCCAAGACTTATAGTTTATCTTTATAACCTTTATAACTGTAATACCACCAGCTGGTTAACTTTTCTCCTAGCTGCCTTGATCTTAAGACTCCAACTTCATTTTCCAAGGCTGAGGGGCAGGTATATATTGTTCTTGACCTATAGTTGAGCATTTTGAAGATTACAGTGACTAGCATATATCAATTTATTAATTTATGATTGTAGTAGAGATGGTTACAAGGGTTTTATTGGCATCTTCTAGTATATTATCTAATGGTACTTCTTCACTAAGCATTGATAATTAGTCTTGAGAATTGACTGCAGCTAGTTAATTCATGATTCTATGTCTCATACAAGCTTGCTCTGTTCTGTAATGGAGGGGTAGCAGTGACATTCTAGCTTTGTGTTGACTGCACATCCACTCATTTTTTTTGTAAAGATTTTTTTATTTTTTAAGACAAACATATACAGACAAAAACATAAAAACATAAAACCATCTTTCAGTTGTGTACATACAGTGTGTCAGTTGGTTACAAATCTTTTGTGCTATCCTTTCACAGTCCTTACTCACAAGTTGTAAAGGTTCTCAAATTGTCGATCTAAAATATGCTTATATATCTATCAGTTATTAATCAATCATTTGACTAAAGTATAATTCCATCATTTCATACAAGATATTCTAGTTTTTATTATAAATTTATATTATACATTCATCCAATGGTTATATATTTTGTATTATATTCTATATCAATCTATTAATCTTCTATTACAAAACTTCCTAGTCTATTTCATTACCATGTCTTTTTATCTCACCATTGATAAAATAAGTCCCATATCATATAAAATTGTTTATCTTCTTGTTCTCTAATTTCAAATGTCAATTTACTCATATCAGCATAGTCCATAATTTTCTTAATAACTTCCTCCTGCATAGGTATTTTTTCATTTTTCCAATTCTTAGCAAATACAATTCTAGACGCTGTTAAAACATTTACAATCAAATATTTCAATTCTTTATTGTATATCTCCAGTATAATTCCCAATAAAAATATCTCTGGTTTAAAGTCTATGTGTTGTTTTATAATTTTTTCCAACCATGTGTGGATTTTAGTCCAATATCTTTTTACATGGCCACCACATATGGTAATATGAACCAGGTATCTGATGACATTTCCAACATTTATCCGATTTGTTCTTAAACATTATTGCGATTCTCGTCAGGGATAGATGCCACCTGTAAAATATCTTATACAAATTTTCTTTATAAGCAGCTGACATTGTCATTTTATAGTTTTGAGACCATAACTTTTACCATTTCTCTAAGTCAATCCCATATCCAAATTCCCCCCCCCAAGCAATCATTGTTTCTTTAACTTGTTCCTCCTCTAATTTAAATTCTAGTAAATGTCCATAAAAAAATTTAATTACTTTTTCATCAGCACCTATCAAGATTTTATCTAAATCAGTCAACTTATCATAAAAACCTTCTGTTTTCAGATCTTTATCAAATCTAGATTGTATTTGTAAATATGAAAACCAATTCATCTTTATACCTTGTTCTTCTAATGCTTGCATAGATTTAAGTTCACCCTTTTCATTCAATATCTCACCATATCTAACTGTTCATTCCTTTTTATATGTTACTGGATAAGAAAAAGCTTCAATAATAGATATCCATAATGGAATTTTTAAATAATATTGCTTTTTTTTATCTTCTCCCAGTTTAAAAACAATGCCTCTCGAATATAATGTCTTCTAAAACACCCCTGTGTTTTAGTTCCCTTATACCAGAGGAAAGCATGCCATCCCAACAGCAAGTCATGTCATTCTAAAGTCAATAATCTGCTGTTTCTTAATGTTATCCATTCCTTTACCCACATCAAGTTTGTCACCTGATAATTCCCAATTGGGCAAAGCGAATCCTCCTCTTATTCTTGCATCTTGTAGCAATTTAAGTTTTATTCTCGCTTTCTTTCCCTGCCAAATGTATTTTAACACTATTTTGTTTAAGTCTTCAAAAAACTCTTTCCCTAATATAATTGGAATTGTCTGGAATAAATATAAGATTCTAGGCAATACATTCATCTTAATTGTAGATATTCTCCCAATCAATGATAACTGTAAATTTTCCCATTTTGTCAAGTCTGTCGCAATCTGTTGTTTGAGTTTAAGACAGTTATCCTCCTTCAGTGCACTACATCTTGCTGTTATATACTGTATATCCCTAAATATTTAACCTTATTTGTGACCTGGATTTCCAAGACTTAAGTACCAGGTCATCTGCAAAAGCTTGCAATTTATACTCTTCCTTTTTAATTTTCATTCCTTTTATTTCTTTTTCTTCTCTAATGTTCCTATTCAGCACTTCCAATGTTAACACAAACAACAGAGGCGACAGTGGACAATCTTGTCTAGTCCCTTTTCTTATATCTATAGAATCTGTTAACTCTTCATTTATCATAACCTTTGCAGTTTGCTTATAATACATATTGTTTCTATGGCTTGGATAAATTTTTTACCAAAGCCCATTTGTTCCAGTTGCAATAACATAAACCGTCAACTCACATTGCCAAAGGCTTTTTGTGCATCTAAAAATATCAGAGCCATTTGCTTTTCAGGATGTGCCTCATAATATTCCAAAGTATCCAGAATTATTCTCATATTATCTTTAATTTGTCTCTTTGGCAGAAATCTGTTTTGATCAGCATGAATAAAGTTATTTAAATATCTTTTCAGTCTTTCTACCAAGATTGAAGCAAAGATTTTATAGTCTGAGTTTAACAGGGATATAGGTCTATAGTT